TGGTTTTCAAAAAAAAAAATTAAAATTTTTTGGGAAATTAATTTTTGATTTAGGAATCAAATTGGAAATCAAAATGGGAATTTTCAGAATTGGGATTTCAAAACCCCAAAATAAAAAAAATTTGGTTTGGAATCGCCAGAATTCAAATTTTCTTTTCATTTTCCCCCCCCCCCCCCCCCCACTTGGTAGTTGGTACATATGTAATATGGTGCATGGACACTTCAATTTCTTAACATCTTCGCGTTTTGGAAACGAAACCCATGGGCACTTATCGAAAACTCTTTGGGCATTTTTTTTGTAATTTCTAATAAAATTGAAACACATTTTAGTAGCAAACCCGAAACATTATGTTTATTCTTAGCGATTATCGATTTGATAATCAATTGTAAACCAATAATTGATACTAATATTTATTTGAATAAATATATGAAAAAAAAATATTACTTCATCAGTAAATAAAAACATATACGCAATTTTTTTAATTTATACACGTGGCACTATATTTTCAATATTTACACGTGTTCCGTGTCCTATTTTAAAGAGTAATAATCCTATCTTGCAACCAAACAAGGCCTAAAAAGATGATACCTGCATCCTATAAAAGAGCAAACCAGAAGGTCCATTTTCAGGCAACATAGCCAGCCTCACCGGGCTTTTGGCCCCTTGTTCAGGTGTTAGTGGGCCCGAATGTTGGCTAAGATCGGTGTGGACCCAGCCCGGACACACAGCATTTATCAGTATCTTCGGATACTTTTTAGCTAGGATTCTCGTGTATGCAGTCACTGCTGCTTTTGAGACACAGTACGCGCTCCAATAACTAGGCCACCCTTTGGCTTCTACCGAACCCTCCTTCAAGTCTTTAAGGAACTCATTCGTTACTTGATCGATCTTCTCTTCTGTAAGGCTTTCGATGTCGTTGAGCGTATCTCTAGCCCATTTATTTTGTATACTCTAAAAAAAAAAAAATCAGCAACTATTATTTTTGTTAATGCTCGAATTAGGGTCTATTGCGTTCAACACCCCTGTGTGTTCTCTAATTGCTAAAAAACTCCATGTGTTATTTTAATAGCAAAAAGCATCCTCCGATTCAATTTTTTTTTAGCAAATTGCCCCATAAAAAATGCATTATAAGGGGGGTTATGACTTTTGCTAATACTAATAACAACACACGGAGTTTTTTTAGCATTGTAATATAATACAGGGGGTACTAAATGCAATAAACTCGCTCAAACTATCATACTCTAAACGGGAATAATGGAAACAAAGTGGTCAAACATTACATTATTCGGAGAGGGGGAGAGAAATCTTTGGTAGAAAATAGCATATTTTTAGCAGCTACATGTTTTATTTAACCGCAATCGAGCTAATTCGAAGGCGAAAGATTTTGCATATAGAGATGTATTTGAAGTAGAAGTCTGAATACGACGAGTATTACCGATAGTTTCCCCATTGTGGAGGAAACATTAACTATCCTTGGAGAATGAGATAGCTCGAGTAAGGGAATCAGTTTCTCAGCGGTGCGTTTCGTGCCGTAGTAGTTTATTTATTCAATGCAATTTCATTA